GAGAGTGAGAATATGAGGTACCTTGGCCCCCTTTTATAGGGGGAGTATACCTTTTGAGCCCAAGTTGGGTTTGACCCCTATCGTTGGGCTTAGATCTCTTAGTGGACTTATCCTCCAATATATATCCGCTTTATCCATTAAACTGGGTCCAGTATAATATCTTATATCATCACCAGAGACATCAGATTCCATATTTAGTTGCCAACCCTAATTTGCACAAGCCGAAAGAGAAAAAGAAAACACCTTTCCAACCCCTGATGGAATTAAACTCTTCCCCAAGAGAATTCAAGCCTCCCCTCAAGAGAATTCAAGCTCCCCTAAGAGAGAATTTTAGACTTCTTTTTGTTTCAGAAACTAAAACTGAAGGTGATTCAATTGTTGTCACACATAGTTAGGATTAGTGTGTTATCAGTTAGATATATATTTGAGAGAAGATATTTATGGCCCAATATCTCATGTGTTGTCCTTGATTAAGTCAATATTGGTTAGTGAATAAATGTTCTAAAAACAATGGTGGACCCTGTATTTGCTTTTTATATACTTAATTTTTCACAAGCAAGAATAATGCTCAAGTATCTATTGCTTCTTTCTTGACACAGTCTCCGGAGTTACACATTCTGTATTAATGCATTTTCCTTTTTTCTTAAGAATATTAATATAGCTTAAGGTCCAGTAGTTTACAGGTTATCTTTGTTATTGGGCACAAAATGATTGTTTACAGATATGGTGAAAGAAGACCTGGTAAGAGTATTCATTACAATATTTCTACCATAATCCTCATAACTCAACCATAATTTTACTATCAGGTCTCAATTTGATTCTAATAATATTTATTTGCAGTTCACAATTCTAATAATATTTATTTGAGTAACATAATTGTGATTCCTAATTGCCTATCTCAGGTTGTGTTCAAATGTCACGTGAGCATTATAGAAATCCAACATTTTTCATAAAAATCTGAGTGAAATCGAGTATTTGTTTGGTTGGTTTCTGAAGTGGATTTTTTTTTTTTTTTTT